CAAAGCAGCCGCGCGGGGCAAAGCAGCGGCGCTGGCCGGCGCTGGGCGGCACAGCCGCGCTGGCCGAAACAGCCGCGCTGGTGACCGTGGAGCACCTCTGCCCGGGAATTTCCTAGTCTGTGGGCAATAAAAACACGGCGTCCACTCACCCTCTGCGCTTTCACTGGGAGCTGCAATCCTGAGCTGTTCCTAAACGGCCATCTTGGATCCACTCTCCGATTCAGAAATCTTAAGTTACACACTATTCTGATTAGCAGGATAAAATCTCATGCTGTCCCACTCTGTCCTTCCCCTTGGAATGTGAATCCCTTTGTTCAGCATAGCCATGCTATTTACACTCCCTGCCCAGTAATCAGTCACTTAGCAACTGTCTCAGTTCTCAGAGTGACTGCTGCAGTGTTACAGTGCTGTGTTCAATTCACTCTTATTTTACTTTGTAATGGCTCCAAGTGAAAAAGTAGTGATGCTGGCAATTTGAATATGCCAAAGAGAAGCCATAAAATGCTGCCTTTAAGTGAATGGTAACAATTCTCAATTTTATTAATAAGAAAAGAAAAAAAATGTATGCTGATGTTGCTAAGATTTAAGATAAGAACAAGTCTTCTATCTGTGTAATTGTGAAGAAGGAAAAAGAAATTCATGCAGAGTGTATACAGGGTTCAGTGCTATCCAAGTTTTTAGCATCCTAGTGCTATCCAAGTTTTTAGTATCCTCTGGGAGTCTTAGAACACGTCCCCCAAGGCTCAGGCAGGACTACTATATTTAGAGAGTGACTCAAATAGTAGTCAATAAAAAGGTATAGATAATAAATGAGCATGATTTAGAGGTGTAGCTGACACATAAATGAGGAAGTGAGAGAAAAGAAGCCGTGCAATTTTGGGCAGGACCCTATTAGTAAAGCTCAAAATCCATCTTAAAGTACTGTAATAAAATCCTACACTTAAGTACTTGGCCTCACAGAGCTGGGCTCTCCCCTTCACACTGAGGAATTCACAATGCTCAGATTTGGAGGGAGCATTTTTGGTCCTCTCCTGTGTTCTGAGATGAGTGGGGAAGGGAGGCCAGGCTTAAGGGGCACAAGCCTTTGGAAGGGGTCTTCCTGCTGCTTTAAAATTTTCTACTTTTGTTAAGCCCAGTTGATCAGCAAAGACAAGTGCAGTATCTTAACGTCATAGCCCCAGAACCTCACACCAGAGATGATGCTCTCTGGTTTGTCCCAGACTTTCTGGAAACTGCTACATAGACTTCCTATTCTCTATCCGATAACATTTCCTGATCACTGAGGGTGCTCAATGTTTATCATGCCCTATTATAACAATATTTCAAGTCCAGGAAGAGAAGTAGAAAAGAAGAGCCCAAAGAATAAAGAGTAAAACCCCTAAAATAATAATATTGACAAAAACATCTCTAGGAGTTTGCTTGAAATTATAATTATCCAATTGCTAACTTTCTCCTCCAGTTCCCATGTCCTTACGAATCAGAACAGAGCTAGAAATATATTCTTAATTATCAGTGTCCTGGAAAAGTCTCAGAATGATTTCTTGAGCATGCATTTGTAAAGGCAGTGTCTAGAGCCCTTGGAGATTCTGCACAGCAGGCTGTACCTGCATCTGATAGAATCAGAGAGGCTCTGACTGAGCACGTGGTCAGCATCGTGGTCTGCCAGTGTCCGGACAGGAGCACTACTTGTGTGTCAGTCACTGATAACCAGCCATCTGGTCTCTTCTCAGTCAGAATTAAAAGAAAATTGTTGGAGCAATTGGAACAGGAATATTATAACTGTAGCAACCAAACAAAAACCACTCCAATTTTTTTCATGAACTGGGTCAAGTCAGTGCTTCCTTCACTCAGTCTGGCAGTCAGCATTCTCTGAGCAGCTGCTGGCAGTGGGCTGATTACCTGATGTTTCTTCCTCCTCCTCGGATTCCTCCTCTTCCTCTCCATCCTCCTCTGACTCCTCGCTGTCTTTCCCAAGCTCACCCTTCTGGGCTTTTTCAGAGTAGCCCTCGGGCTTCTCCTCCCCAGGCTCAGCCAACTTCCTCAACTCCGGCTTCTCCAGGCTGGCGGTCAGGTGCATCATGGTGAGGTCCGGGAGACTTCCTTCAGGGTGGGCCAGTCTGTTGGCAGAGAGCAGCTGAGTCAGAAGCGGAAAGGATGTCAGGAGAGATTAGAGTGAGGGGCAAGTAAAAGGAGGGTAAACACAAACGAAATCAGTGCATATACAAAGGCCTCACAAGGTGGGGTGTTAGTGTTTCGCCACTTTCTTGTTGGTTTGTTTGTTGTTTTAAGTTCTTTCTAAAAACAAACTGTAAACTCCGTTAGGTTTTGTTAGCTTTTCCAATTCAGGTTCTAGTGAGTAGTTGGTAATGAGAGCTATCGACACCTAAACTTGACATTTTTCCCGGAGGAGAAAATGGTCAGAGTTTAGGGTGTAGAAGCATGAAATGGCATCATGTAGAGCAAGCATTTCATGGCTTCACAGGGGGACTTACTCATTTTGGTGGATTGGTAATTTTTTCTTGATGCTGCTCAAAGTAATTGAAATAGAAAGGAAAAAAAGGAGATGAGAACAGAAGAATTATAAGAAATGTCAGAGATCACATATCATGCTACATATCAACCACTATTGCATTCCTGTATGCCAGTTGCAGTAATGCCCTAATGCCAAATGCATTCCAGGGTGGCATCAATAGCGTGCTTTGCTCTGAACCCTAGGCTTGGCAACTGACCTGAGAGTGGACAGGACTGCAGGTTTGTAAAGGAGAGAGCATATTGAAACTGCTGAGGCAAATTATATCATGCTTTTTTAGTAACGCAACAAACCAACTTGCAAGAATCAAGTCATTCACATTTTTGGTAAGTTTTTAAAAATTTCTTAAAGAATATATGCTTTCAGTCAACCTTTGTGTGGATAAATCCCACTCTGCCATCTAACGCATATGCCGTGGAAGCTAAATGTTTCAGGAGTGAGACGTCCACATCATGTCCCCACCTGAGAGTTACTGATGCGAACTGTTGATTGGCAGCCGTGGGAAGACGGTGTGAGATCTTGAACCAGAGAGAGAATGAAGGCAGAGAGAGCTTCCAGTGAGTTCGCTCAGCAGCCTGGGATGTTACAGTTTATTTCATAGTGGAACATAATAAGTCTCATCCTTCTACATTTTTCTAAAAGCACATCTCTGTTCATACTCAAATTAATGTTTTAAATAACTTGTGGGCAATATAGTCTATATTAAGAAAAAGCCTACTGGACATGCTGGTAGTCTTCTCTATTTATCACAGTTAATCCATACATTTTTAGCAGGTTTCTAATGAGATGTACAATTAATAACATTATTCTGTCTGGATAATTGAAGGCTCTAAGTAAACTATTTAACTTTGTGAACGTTAATTAATTTTCTACAAAATGAGGGAGTTTGGGTAGGTCAAACATTTACTTTCAACTTGTTGATTTAATATTTGTAAACATGCCTATCATTTTGAGCAACTGTTGCAAGGGATCCACATTGTCCTAGATTATCATTCAAACAACCCCCTTGCACAGGATGTCCAACAGGTAAATCACAGTATGCCAGAAACAGATTATTAACATAATGGAGAGGGAGAATCTGAGGAGAGTTCTACATCGGTAGGAGTTATACTGACATACTACTTTATTTTCCTAAGCTAGTCAGTTTACCCTCTAGACTTTGGAGAAGTTCACCACTTTTAAAACTGCAACCCATATCATCTACACCAGTGCCACACACCAACTCTCAGGGTACATATCTGCTGTTCCTGCTTGGTCAGTACACTCCATATGAAATGCTATTGAATGTGGAAGTGGTCAGTTGCTGCAAAGTCATCAATATGTATTTGTTCTCTTCAGGGATGCATTTTATAAATGAAAAGATAACTTTCATTAAGACAAGAAATTTGGTAGTTTCAGTGTGCAGGTGTGACCGCCTCAGAGTGAATCTTAAAGGTCTACGTCGACACTGCTGCAACTTCAAATGACAAGAAAACTACTTTCCAACAATTACTGCTATTAAGGGGAGTGAAACTTTAGGGGAGGCTGTTTCTGCAGCTGCTGCTATAGCTACACAGCAGATGTCCTCAGTCAACAATGCCCCAAACTGCCATGCCACAGGCAGGCACATTGAGGGGAGATCGTTCAATGAAAGAATCAAAGGAAGACCCTGGAGTAAGCCTTTCGGAAGCAGGTCCGCAAGGTTGACTTCTAGAAACATGTAAAAGAACTAGATGCAGCTGGGGACAAACGAGAAGGGAATCTCTGCATCTAACACGGCTCATGCCCTCTGACCTTAACGCTACAAGCCCCAGACTAGTAAAAGAGGAAAACTGTTATCAGGCTGACATTTACTAGTCTAGGAGTTTGTTAACTATCTTGAGAAATTTCAGATAATTTTATCTTGTATTATTAAAAAACTGTGTGCATAAAACATAAATAGATAAAAATATTTTAAATGCATGATAAAGTGTAGTGTTTCAAAAAGATACTTCTATGAATCCTTTTATTTTTTCTCTCTCTTTTTCTCATTTTTATCATAACATTGTTTTTAGAGGCCATAGAAAAGAATGTTAAGAGGCTTGGGTTCAAGTCTTCACCAGAAAACTTACCAGCTAAGGTGGGATGGCAAAATTATTTAACCTATCTAAGTTAGCTGAAATAATACTGTCTATTTATAGGAGGTTGTAAAAATTAAGGTGGTTTCTACCAAACATTTAACACAGTGGTTAATCACACGGGAAACATTTTAACGTAAGCAGCCATCTTCTACTGGTAGATTTTCATATATTAGGCTTTGATAACCTGCATCATAAACTCATTCTAAAGAAAAAGCAGAATTAGAAACATGCTTTTGCAAGGGACTACATAATGATGGGTGATAGGGAAGGTATTAAACTTAGACTATAATTCTGTCATCTGCACCTTCTTTAACAGAACTTGGATATTTTATAGAAAGCCATTCAAAAGAAAAAGAGCAAACATTTCCTCCTCAGGAATCTGTTTTCCAGTGGCCTCAGGGTTCTGTTCACTCCTTTCTGTGTGTGATCTCAACTATTGCATTCCCTGAGGATTGGGAGCGGCAGAGGTAGTTCTGCACAAATGCAAGCTTCCGAGGCAGACCCAGCTGTGGCTGCTAGGAGCAACAGCTGTATGGGCTCTCCAGGAAAGACTGTGCATTTTAATTTAATTCAGCTTTTTTCTTTTTTCTTTTTTTGAGACGGAGTCTCGCTCTGTCTCCCAGGCTGGAGTGCAGTGGCACAATCTCGGCTCACTGTAACTTCTGCCTCCCGGGTTCAAGAGATTCTCCTGCCTCAGCCTCTCAAGTAGCTGGCATTACAGGCCTGTGCTACCACGCCAGGCTCATTGTTTTGTATTTTTAGTAAAGACGGGTTTCATTGTGTTAGCCAGGATGGCCTCGATCTCCTGACCTCGTGATGTGCCCGCCTCAGCCTCCCAAAGTGCTGGGATTACAGGCATAAGCCACCGCGCCAGGCAGCTTTTTTTTTCTTCCAGCAAATGAAAAGAAAATGGATCTTGATTTTCCAAAGACAAAATTTAAAAACCCACTCTAATAAAAATATTCCTGGAAACTTCAGGCTAAGGAGCTTATAAGACTTGTAGTTCTTTACTGAACATTAGGTGCAAATTACCTAATGGTCATATGAAGGATTTTGACTTTGGGACTCCAAACAATAAGAGTGGTGATGAACAGGATTCTCGAAGAAGCCCCTCCTCCCCTGCCTTAAATCACGCTGCTTCGGATGTCTTTCTCCACAGGAAGTTCATTTCTTCTCTTTGGGTTTTCTTAACACTGATAACTTTGTTTCCTTGCTCTTGTTACAATTCAGGCTCTGAGCTCCAACCTTTTCACTGACCATCCAGCAAAATGACTCTCATGTTCTAACAAAGCAGATGACAAGTATTTGTTTGTGTCTTCACTCACTCTTTACACTTCCATGGCTTTGTGTAGCTCCCAATGTGTGTGTTTTTCCATTTATGACTCTGTCATTTTATTCTGAGTTCTGGGGACTTTCCCCTTGAAGACACATTTGCTACTCATCACATCCTTAAAAAATGCAGTACTGCGCTTGGTTACACTATAACTCACTGAATCTTGGATGAAGAAATTCTACGCCCTAGAGACACATCCTTATTTGAGACAGAAGAAACAAATTATGTGACAGGGACCCTCAAAGAGGGTTAATTCTGTACAAGACCTGACTTTGGAAAGCTACATAGTAAGCTACTTTCCATTAGAGAAAATGGAAATTCTAGCATTGTAAAATCTCCGTAGTCTGAATGTCATTTTTTTTTTTTATGATTCTAATTTGGAACATGTGGTGATGTAAACTGCACTGACACCATTATCATTAAACTGTTAGTAGAAAATTGACTTGCACATATGTAGTGTTTCATGTAAGTAACATTCAAAGTAAAATAATTTTACTGTTTAAGATAAATTATTCTCTAGAACTTGAAAGCACTTTTAGAAGATTGTATTCACATATAAGCATTCAATTTGTGAAACGAATATCATATCTTAATTATGTGTGTTGGTAACATGTATAGTGTTTACTAAATCAGTTGCAATTTACCCACAATTATCCATATTTTAAAAATGTTATCAAAGTGACCTACTGTCCTCAATACACTACCCTACCTTATACCTTGTAAGGTCATGTCTAAATTTTAATCAGCCCTTAAGTTGAATTGTAGGTATGCCCCCTCTTTTACCCCAGAACTATATATAATACTTTATTCTCCTTATAAAACAAAACTGAACATAAAGAAATAAATTATGGGAGAAAGCAAGCCTATATACTTTATAAAAGGATTCACCCTGTCAGTCTAATGGATAATCAGTCCGATTCAACACGGCATACAGCATTTCAGAAGCACACATTGTAAAATGAGTGGCAGGCTTGTTTGATAATGTTTCCTTTGGGGCATAGCTCTGGCTGCTCTTAACATGTTAATATTCATGTAAAAATATGAGATTTCACTGGCAAGAATATAACTATGCAAGTTTTTTATCATTTGGGGCGGCTTTGAACTTGATACTTCTAAGGAGTCCTGAGTGAATTAGCTGGCCTTGTGGCTTGGGGC